CAAGCACTGCTGAGTGCTTCCAAAGCCTTGGAACATTTGCTGAGTAAGAACAGGCCAGTTTTCCTTTCAATACTCTCACCATTGATCAGTTAAGAGTTACATTAATTTTTCATGAGGTTGTAAACATAATTGTAAATACTAGGATCAATTAGGGGACAGTAAATGGGCTCAGTTCAAGTTGACAAAAGCAGAGTAGAAAGTCTGCCTGCCCTTGGCGGTAGCCGTCGCCATTGGTTTGGGGTCATGTTTGCAAAGGCACACTTTCACCTAGTGTGGGGCTGCAGCACCTGCTCTACTGTCCAGCCACTCTTCAGACTTTGGGGGGAGCCACGTCTCCCCGATGTATGGATGGTGTAGGGGCAGGAGCCCAGAACCCTGCCCACGCTATTTAACCCTCACCTGGACTGCAAGTGGGGCCCTCAGGACTGTCTCTGCCTTCCTGACTTGGCTGGAGCGGGCTGTGCTGCTCTGGCGGGGAGGGGGTGCTTGAGAGGGACTCTGTTTATGGGCTGTAGCAGAGGAGGAGGAGGAGGGCACATCCCGTGGCCATAGGCTACCTGTAACTTTCCCCCTTTCCCAACATTTGCAGAAGCTGCCTCCGCGCAAGCCTAGTGCAGGTGCAAGGCTCTGAGACTGGCAGTTGGTGTTACAGCCCCTCTGGTGGGCGAGGTCCCCTAGGGTGAACCACAGAGGTCTTACTTACCCCTTTCCCTGACCTTCTGTTTGGCCACCCAAAACCAGAAAGACTCCTGGCTCCGATATTTCTGACAACATGTGCATTTATTTGTATTAGAAGTACAAACGTAAGAATACAAATACAAATACAGGGCAGGCCCAGAAGAAGGGACGGACTCAGAGTGGGCATCAGAAGCCTCTGCAAGGGCGGAAACAGCTCACTCTGGATTTAAAGGTTGACCAAGAAGGACGCAGGCTAAGAAGCACAAGGTTCCTGGGGCAAGAGACGGCTCCACTTGACTTCTTTATTTAGGGCATTAAACACCCATGACTGCTGAAACACGTATTAAGAGCCTCTATTTATCTCTTTCTAGCTCACTGTTTTGAAATGACACTAATTCCATTTTATAACATTGAAATAAAACTTAAGATGTTTGTTAAGCACCCTAAACAACCATATATTAAATTGCTGGAGTATGTTATGCATGTCAAGTGTGTTCCTCTCATTCGTCAAGAAAACTTCAAACTGTGTCCAGAATGGGGGTTTTCATGAACGGGTCTCCAGTGGGGGGCCATCTGCGGCCTGGCTGGGTCTCTGCCTCGCTCCTGCCTGCTCACTTGTGTGACGCAGCCCTGGGACCTCCTTGGGCCTCTGCGCTCCATGGGCGGCAGGCCCCCCTGCACGCTTGGAGTGGATTAGCCTTACATTTCACGGGTTAGGAAATCGAGACACAGAGGTCACTGGGCAACCGGCCCCAGAGCAGAACAGGAGCACTGGCAGAGGCGGGCCCCTGCCCCTGCTGGCTTTTCCCCATTGGGGAGAGTGGCCCCTTGACGAACCGAACACCGTGCATCTCTCAGGACAGAGCTGAAGACACTAACAATTACCCAGCAGTGGAAAACCCCCCTGGCTCTGCGTCTCGTGTTGAGGACGTCTCAGCCTGTGTCTTTCCACCCGGCCTGGAGCCCTCCTCTCTGGGAACTGTTTTTCTATGTACTTTCCTCGGGGCCACTAAACTTTCCTGCTTAAAAACAAACAAACAAAATAACCTCTTCGAGTTTTATGGCTATTTCTTTTTTCTCTATGTTAAAAGATTCTCTATTTCTTTTGACAGCATCATTTCTGTACCAAAGGTGTCCCTATTCTTCCTCCACTCCCGGCCCTCCGACTGTGTGTGACAATGTGCTCTCTGGGCCTCAGCTGTACTTTCTGACTTGACATTCACCGTCCCTACTCCCACCCCTTCCCATTACCCGTTGCTATGAGGCAGCATTTGTTGGCAAAATCTGTGTGTTCGCTGTGGCTTCCCACAGCTGTAAAAAATGGCTTCACCACTCACCTTCTGTCAGAACTACCATGATGCACACTTGTAGACTGCAGACAGCTACGCAGTCTCCTAATGAAAACAGCCTGAAGTCCACTAGACACAAGGTGCTGACTAGTGGTCAGAAAATCACCTGTTGTGTATAGGTGGGCACAAAACATCCAGTTTGTGCAAGTTGTGAATTGATGCATATAAAGGAATACAAATAACTACATGTAAAAATTGTCGTATAATAGAACCTTCTTAAGGGATAGTTCACATCATTAATTTAAAAATATGTTTCTCAGTTTTTCAATTGATACTTACATCAAGCCACATACTAAATATTCAGGTACTTTAATAATTAAATGTTATAATTTTTTTTAGATTGTGAAACCTTGGTCAATATTTACAGGGCTTAATTTTCCCACATCTCAGTGTCCTTGTCTGTAGAATGGGTTGTTGTGAGGATTAAATGAGTAGATACATGAAGACACTTAGAATATAGTGTCAAACAGAACAGATAGAAAGTTGGAGGAGGGTGTTATATCATTCTGAGGGTGGGGAGGAAATTTGCAAGCAGAACACAAGAGATACTACAGAAAGAAAGGTTAATAGATTTAACATCAGGAGACTGAAAACACTGTATGGGGGAAAAGGCACAAGAAATAGCAGCGACAGCATTGCTAATGAAAACTGTAATAAATACTACATAGAGATCATCATTGTAAGTGAAATAAGCCAGAAGGAGAAAGGAAAACACCATATGATATCACTCATATGTGGAATTCAAAGAAAAAAGACAAAAAAGACACTATGAACTCATTTACAAAATAGAAACAGACTCACAGACTTAGTAAATAATATTATGGTTACTGGGGAAAGGGGGTGGGAAGGGATAAATTTGGGAGCTAGAGATTTGCAAGTATTAGCTACTATATATGAAAATAGATTTTTTAAATGTTTCTTCTGTATAGCACAGGGAACTATATTCAATATCTTGTAATAACCTTTAGTGAAAAAGAATATGAAGATGAATATATGTATGTATATCATGACTGGGACATTATGCTGCACACCAGAATTTAACACATTGTAACTGACTGTATGTACTTCAGTAAAAAAAAAAACTGCATAACAAATGCCAGATTAATATTCCTAATATATTCTATATGTGATTATACAAGCTTTGTATTATATAAAATATAATCACATAACTTATAACATAACTGGCAGATGTCACTTTAAAACAATTATCAAAGTTGTATAAAAAACTTTAATAAAGGCTAATAGACATAAAAAGCAATTCATGAAAAAGAATGAAAATCAAAAATAAACAAATGAAAAATATTAAACTATTGATAATCAGAGAAATGGCAATGGGAACAGTTTGCTGGAGCTGTTTTTCTGTAGCCAAATGCAGAGTGAGTTCTGAGAGGCCCATGACCCACCCTGCTAACAAAGCTGGTGGAATGTGATTTGGCAAAGATCATGCAACTCTTTGGCCCAGCCATTCTGCTTCTAGGAATTCAAGTAAATAGTCACAAGTATGTACAAAACTGTAGTGATAAAAATATCTTTAAAAGTGAAAAGGTGTGAATTAGCCCGGTGCCCAGCCAAGACTGTGCATCAGTCATGAACATGTGAGGCAATCGATCATTAAAATGATCCTATAAATTAATACTCTGACTCAGAAACCTATTTCTAACCTATTCCTCAGTTACAGAAATATGTCTGCTATTCACTAACCCCTGGGTAGAAGGAGTGATTATTTTTTCATTTTCCAAATTTTCTAATTTGAACATTAAAACAAAAAGTAAATACAGTTTTGAAGGGCGTACATGCATTATTCATTGGTCTTCAATATGCACATGCATAAACAATGATATCTTAGTTTTTTCAGAGTTTTCAGAACTATTTGCACTTGCAATGCTATACTTACGGAAGGGGCTTGTAGGCTTATTCTTTCATGAATCCATCTTGAGGAATCTGGATGTAATAGCTACAAGAAAAGCAAAAAGAGTAATTAGAAGACACTTATGGAAATCTGCATGACAGATCACCCTGCTAAAGAGTAATCTTTAAGATATGATTAATTACATCAATCAATGCCGCCGGTAGGGGAAGCTGGAGAGTGTCTGAGGGTCCCATTCCTGACTTCAGAATACCTGTCTTGTTGGTTTTTGTTTTTTCCAAGTCTTGTTAAATTAACTATTTACATTACTTTATATAAGATCCTTACAAATAAGAATTGTTTGTTTACCTCAAACTATCCTCCCCCTAACTTCCCAGAAAATCTTTGCTGCTGGACCTCACCGATGTTTTTTTCCTGGTGGTAGCTGGTTTTCTACAGCTTGAATAGTAGTTGAGGGTAGCATACTCCATCAGAGCAGCAAAAACGAACAAGAAGCACACGGTCACAAAGAGGTCCATGGCGGTCACGTAGGAGACGAGAGGCAAGGACTTCCTGGCTATGGTGCTGAGCGTGGTCATGGTCAGCACTGTGGTGATGCCTGCACAGGGGACAGGTACTGAGGTGTAAAAGGAGCCACACAGAATTCCTCCACTCCAACACAGTGTTGTTGTTGTTTTTAATGTGAACCTTTGATATTGCATCAATGTAATAATACTTATAATTGTAATTAATGTCTACATAATTTTATAAGCAACATTTCCATAAAAATTTACCATAGTCTTCACAATAACATTACAATACCTGGATCTTCCTATTTATTCAGTAATTCTCTTATTGTTTGACACTTTGTCTTTTAAAATATTTTTAATGAAAATACAGTTTGCCATCTCCAATAATTTCCATCTGTTCCTCATCTCACACTATTCTTCTGCCCGGATAAACCAAGTCCACTCTTACTTCTCCTCTATGCAATTTGTAAACTCCCATCTTTCTTCCAGGCCTAGCTGAGATACCACTTTTTCTGAGGCAAGACTGCTTC